CATGGATGTGAAGTGGTATCTCCTATAGTTCTGATTTGCATCTTTCTAATGAGTAATGATGCTGAGCAACTTTTCATCGTTTTATCAGCCTTTAAATATCATCTGCGGAGAAACGTCTATTCAAGTCCTTTGCCCGTTTTTCCATCAGGTTGTTTGCTTTTGTGCTGTTAAGTTTTATGAGTTCTCTACGTAGTCTATACGTGAATCCCACCACTGATGAGGGATTTGTAAATATTTCCTCCCTTTCTGGGGGTTGCCTTTTTACTCTGTTGATAGTATCCTTTAACACACCAAAATTTTTCATTTTGATGAAGTCAATTACTCTTTCTTCTGTTGCCTGTGCCTTGGTGTCATATCCAAGAAATCCTTGTCAAATCCAATGTCACGAAGCTTTTCCCCAGGAATTCAATGTTAATATTAAGTCATTTTATAAGAGTTACAGGACAATTTTTAGAGGGAACAAGATGATAACAAAACTCTGGCAAGGGGTTTACTGTATTCCCAATGAGCCCATTTTAAAAACGAATCCTTGTAGGTGGACTCTGATCACCTGTGATAACACGACATGACAGAGGGAGCTGCCTCTCATCAGCAGTAACAGGGACATTAGGGGTGGATGCTCCATTTCACACCAACACTTACACTCTTTTCCTTTGTGGAGCCAACTTCCTTTATGATATTGGAGCCAAACGAAGGGAGAGGGGACCCACAGGTACCATTTTGCTTAACTGAGTAACTCACTCACATGGGTTTAATGATACATGTGTGTTTCCTCACCAACCCCCCGCCCCCCACCACACACACAAAATCCCAGCTCCATCCCCAGTATAAGTATGTTGAGTGAATATTATGCTCATAGAAGACCATAACAAGCCATTAGGAAGGATCAAGTTCAAAGAGTTCAGCAAGGAAAACAATTCCTGTCCTGTCAAGGTGCCTTGACCTAGATTTTCAGGGTTCCTCCAGTAGCAGGCCCTGGCCTCCGCCCAGCAAGAAAACAGCATGGCTTGAGTCAAATCACCAATGCCAGGATGGCCACTCTCCAGCAAGCTCAGTAATGTATGAATTTGTACATCTGTTCTGAACACTGGCCAGAGCAGGCTGAGGCAGTCCTATCCAGCTGAAGGCTTCCGACCAGGAAATTATAACAAGAGTCATAATGAGCCATCAAAGTCATACTGTCCCTCCAAGACTGACACTCGTGCCATCAGAGCCATCACCACTGTGACCTTACTCAGTACAAGAGAGCTGGCCAAGCAGGCCCAAATCAAGCCAAGCCCAACTCACATGTCATTAAGATTGGTGACAGAAAATGCCTGGCACATGCTTAGCACCAGACATTCATGGTGGCTGCTCCCATGGTAAGCTGTGTGTCTTTCACTCCCCGCCCCATCACTTTCAGTTCCTCAAGGTCGGAAACCAGGTCTTATTTGCCTTTAAGCCCCCAGCACATAGTAGGTCCTGCATTAACTACATGCTGAATAGATAGCTACAAGAAAAATCTCCTTTCCCTTAACTCTGCAGATCATTTGGTTGGGAGTCTGAAGTAGAAAAATCAACAAAGCTTTGCCCATAGCATCTGTGCAGAGTTAAATCAGCTTCCTCCCAGGAGCTACACATCAGGAGAACAGAATTTCAAGGCCTTGTCAGATAAAGGAGGGCTTTATGGAGAAGAGTTACCTGAAAGTGTTTTGCATAACAATACATCTACGGATTTTAATGGAGCACTTTTCCCCCATTCCTTATGGACTCATTAAACTGACAGCTTGGCACCAGCATATTGATGCCTGTTTTCTCTCCAACACAAACTGTACGAGTGTCTCATGTTTATCCACCCTATGAATTTCTAAGCAACGATGTAAAAACAAAGAGCTCAGAAAACAAAGAAAAGATGCTGAGTTGAGCTATTTCACAAGAAAACAATAATAATCGTCTCCTTTCCGCCCTCCTCCCACTCGAATTGGGTGTATTTGGGTTTTGGTTGTTTCCCTTTGTTCAAAGATTTTGAATTGCAACAGCTTCTTTTTGCTTATTAAAGAAGACTGTGCTCTCAGCAGGGTGCAGTGGCACGTATCTGTAGTCCCAACTATTGGGAGGCTGAGGCAGGAGGATGATGTGAGCCCAAGGGTTTGAGGCCAGCCTGGGCAACATAGTGAGACCCCCATCTCTGAGAAAACGCTGCACTCTAGGGAATTGCCAGTCAAAGTGCTGGTCCTCGAGAAGATAAGGAGCTGGCAACAGAATGTAAATCAATGCATTGCTTCCTTCTTCAAAATGTCTTGCTATGGGAAAAAAAAAAAAAAGGCAGCTCAGTTAAACAGTGTGGTTAGTGCCAAAGCTGATCTCCTCATGGACAGGTAACAAAGAATTCAAAGACTGGTACAGCTGCAGATCACAGCTCAAGAAGCATTGCTGTAGGCTGCAGAATTCCCCACCTGCCTGAAAACATACTAGACTGACATTTAAAATGGTCTTCTGAGAGTATTTGGCCACCTAGTATCAGTAATTCCTTTTTTTTTTTTTTTTTTGGTAAAGCACTCCAATATTGAGGATCCATTACAGCCTGCTCTCCATCTGTGGGATTCAGGCAGAGACTCTATATGACTAGGCCTCCAAGTCCCTCTAATCACAGTGAGAGGTTCAGGGAAGCCATGATCCAGGGCTGGCCAATCACCATAATTCCAACCTTGCGACCAGTTTTCAGATCAAGGATGGCAGTGGCCCTGACTGATCCAATCAGAGTGAAACCTGGGACTAAGGCAGGAGCTACCAGGAGAATGGCCTCTTTCCACTAAAGTTGTAAGAATGTCAGGCTGGAGTTGACACCCATTGTTGGGGGCAGCTGTACAACACTCATTGTGGCGGGGGTGGGGAAGGGGCTGGATGTGAAAAGAGGCAAAGATTGGGAGCAGAATTGAAAGACAGAGAAACTGGATTCTGAGTCTAATACTGGAACCTCTGCACAAAGCCATGTGTGAAGTAAGTTTCTACCCTACGACTTTTCAGTTATGCGAACCGGTAAACCTTACTTTTGCTGAGATCAGTTTTTGAGCTTTCTAACACTTGCAACTGAAAGAGTCTAAAGTTACACAATGACTACTGTACCCTGGGCTCACTCTAAAATCCATACGCATTGGTCCTAAAGAAACAATTCTGAAAAGTCAAAAGGTGAGGAGTCAGAAGAGCTGCCATGCCAGGTGCAGTAGCTCGTGTCTGTAATCTCAATGTCCTAGGAGACTGAGGCAGGAGGATCACTTGAGCCCAGGAGTTTAAGACCAGTCTGGGCAACAGAGCAGGATTCCATCTCTTACAAAATAAATAAACAAATAGCCAGGCGTACTGGTATGTACCTATATTCCCCACTACTCAAGAGGCTGAGGTGGGAGGATCACTTGAGCCCAAGAGGTTGAGGCTCCAGGGAGCTGTGATTGTGCCTGAGCCACAAGACCACAAGAGCAAGACCCTGTCTCAAAATAAAATCAAAAACAGAAAAACAAGAGCTGCCACTATCTGGGACTAGAGGCAGGCTTAGCAAGACTTTCACACCTATGCCTCTTCCTCTGTCAAGTGGTTAGCAGCTGCCTCATCTATCACCTGTCAGAAGACTGCAAGAATCATGTAAAAGGACACGAAGGAAATCACTCTGGTAGCCCATGAAAAAAAGCACTGCATGAACAAAAAGTATTATTATTATGAGCATAACACCTTATTATTCAAATTTCAAAATTCTGGCAAGCATAACTATCCAGAGCCTGGAAAAAAATGTAAAAGCACTTGAAGCAACACATTGCTTTTACCAAATCTGATAGTCTATGGCGCAGGAGAAGAAGCACTCTCTGCAGGCCAAAGGGTATAAACGGAGGCGGTAAGAGCCTGAGAACAAAGAAGGCGCAGCAGACGGCCACGGCAAGCCTTGTGGTCTGAGCTGAGCAGCAGCGTGCCCCATGGGTCAGTTCTCAGGCTCACCCAGGAAGGTTCTTCCCCATTGCATATATCACTCCAGCGACTTAAGCTTATGAATCATGAAAGAAAAATGGTTATTTAGTTTCAAAATTACACTCCTCACTGCTATTTTGCAACTTTGGAGTTGTTGTCCTAACAATAATATGGTTATCCAATTAGGCAGATTTTATTTGTTTGTTTTTACTGTTTTTATAGCCAAGATCTAAGGGGCTAACATAACCACAGGAATTTTACATTAAAAGACTAAACTGTTTTGCACATTCTGCACTTTCCCCAAAGTCAGAATACGACTGTTTTCTGATAGATATAAACAGCTAGCAGTCATGGGACAAGACCAGAGGAGGTATTCACAACATTCCTGATTTGTAAGCCACCTTCTGTTCATGAGGGTTTCAATGGATTCTCTTTCGATGATAAAATAAATTTTTGGAATTCCAAATAATGTATCTGGAAGTAGCTTTGCTCTTTACAGTTCCTGCGTTTGAGGAACTCAGTCCTGCGGGGAAGTGTGGGGAGGACAAATCAGTCAGCTTGCTTTACCAGCTCCCTCATGTACAGGACATCAACTGCGTCAGGCATTTGCATGCACAGCCAACCGCATCGGGCCACATTACCAACGGGCAGGTTTTGGGTCCTTGGGAGCAAGGAGCAGGTTGGGCCCTGCCTCCCTGCTCCCGTGGACAGCCTGCATTCAGACAGAGCCAGGGCATTCCCACTCTGCCCATCTCCACGGGGAGGCAGGCCCCAGCAGGGCCTGTCTATGGCCAGCTCCACAAATACCACTACTCTTTCTTCTGCTTCTCCGCTTGCATCCCCAATTTGTAACACAAGTTGGCCGTCCCTGTTATCTGATTATCTTCAACTCAACGAAAAGGGGTAATAGGTCCCCTGCTGGCCTCAGGCCCAAGACTTGTTCTCCAATCTAGCTTTATCATTATTAAAGTGATTCTGAGCCTTATTGATCTGAGGCAAGATAAGTTAAAAGGCAAAGGGGAAAGAGAGAGATGGGTTGTTCCCCCCAAACCTCTAACACTTACCAGTCTGGACAAGGCTCTGGACCCAGCATAGATTATACCCACAAACAGCACTGAAGCAGGAAGCCACGCCAGAACATGAGATCTGGAAAGGGGGAAAAAAGGCAATAACACTTTTGCCACTTTTTGTTCAGAAAGACCTGGCTGGAAAGGCTGACCTTCCAGATGCATCAACTACAGCAATAGAAGCTATCTAAACATCCCTGGCGGACTTGTTAAATGAGATGTGGCCTTTATCCACAGAGCGGCGGAGGCAGACAAAGCCACCCTACCTGCAGTCCCATCATTACTTATCACCTAGCTAAGAGATCCCAGAAATGGAAATGGTAAACGCCTTGCTGCAGCTTGGAAAAAAGAATAGATCTTTTTTTTTTTTTCAAGGGCAGTGAACATTATTCTTTGGATTGTAAGTACAGGTATTGATTGACTTACGACTGATGCAACTTACGACCATTCAACTTTACGACCACAATCGCTAGCCACGACTGCTCCACGTCTGGCAGTGCAAACGTTGCCCAGCTGGACGTACAACAGTGCGGACCAGCTTCCGGCAGCACTACCATCTCCGCGTGCATATAGCCTACTCAACTTGCGACCAAATTGTGTTACGACAGGTCTGTAGGAACCAATCGTGGTCGTAAGTCGAGCACTAGCTGTAGTCAGAAGTTTTGAATCCATGACAAATTATTAAAAATTGAAAAGGCTATTTACCCAGGTACTACACCAAACAGCTCCGTGGAATCACAACAAAAAGAACCACAGTTTCAAGGGACAGAATTGAAAAATAGAATCCCAGAACTTCAGTTGGGTGCCCATAGGCTGGCTTCTTCAACCATTAACCTGGCGGTGTTGGAATTCTGGTTCAGGGACTCTCCAAGGACTTCTGAAGAGCAGGCTTCTTTTTCAATTGCAGCCACACCAGGAACTGCTTTTTCTTAGAGTTTAGAATCAAAATCCCAGTTTACACACTCAGTGCATATCACTGAGGTTGCAACCTGCTTCTCTCATCAGTTAGAAATGCATTTGATTGGCTGGGTGCGGTGGCTCACGCCTGTAATCCCAGCACTTTGGGAGGCCAAGACAGGTGGATCAGTTGAGCTCAGGAGGCAGAAGTTGCAGTGAGCCAAGATCACGCCACTGTAATCCAGCCTGGGCAACAGAGCAAGACCTTGTCTCAAAAAAAAAAAAAAAAAAAAAAATGCATTCACTCTACTAATTCAAATTCCCAGAGTTATCCTAATAATTAATAAAAATAAATGAAACTAATTCAACAGAATATAACATAATAATCCCAACTAACTCAATGAACTGATCTCCTGGAATGATGCCTGCTCGAGAAACGGTCTTTGTTAATTTTATTAGCATGGGCAGGCACTCCATCCCAGATCAGCCCTGATCTGTACAACTTCCTAGAGAACCTAGCATTTAAATGTTTCCAGCCTCTAGTAAGGGCCTTCAAACCTTACTTGCTGTATAAACTCACTGTGCAAATACTTAAAGCAACTTACAAGGTGCTGAGTATGATCATTAACAGCAGCACCACAGGTAACATTTATTGAGCACTTGCCACAAACGAGGCACTTTGCTAAATGTTTTATATGCTGCATCTTTCTTAAAGTTGCACAATAATCTTATGAGGAAGGTGTTTATTATTATTACCCCGTTGCGCGGATGAGGAAACTGAGGCACAAAGAGTTCAGATAATTTGCCTATACTGTAGTTAGGAGAGCTGGTAAATGGCAAAGCCAGAATTTGAATTCAGGTCTGTCTGGCTCCAAAGCCCTAGCTGTTAAACACCAATTCATACTTTGCCATCACGGACCTCATAATCTAATGGGAGACACTGACATACAAATAGATAAGCTGCAAACACTCAGATAATTGGCTGCAGACCAAGCAGCCAATTATCTGAGGGATATTCTGTTATCACTAGTCCCGCTGCAATAATAGATGTCAGTACCCACAACCAAAAGATAAACAGAGAAAGGAAGATGCTATCCTCCATTGCAATGGGTCAGGGGTGATATCAGTCAATTGCTATTCTAGGAAATGGCTTTTCCCACTTGACATTAAGCTTACATGAATCAAGGGAGGCGGATACAGGCCCATGGCCTGTTGTGCACCAGAAGGAAGCCCACAGCACATACTGCAGGCAGGGCGCTGAGGAGGAAGGAGGAGGTGCACTGGGTGAAGCGGCAGCTGGCCTCACTGTGGGAGGCCCAGGACTTTGGAATGTAAGGTCAGCAAGGCCCCAGAGATGTGTACTCCATGCCCTCGTAAAACAAAGGAAACTGCTGAGTTAGATATTGTAAGAGGCATCGGGGTGTCTGAATGACCACGGACGTGAGGAAAAGAAAACATGCCTAGGGAACACCTTGTATTTTAACCCTCCTACCCTCAAATACAAAGAAATAACTTTAACTAGAAAAGAGAGAGGCAGGCCTCGTAGGACCAAAGAGACTTCTAGGAAGTGTTAGCGGCATCTGGCTCCCGATGTGGGACTGCCTCCCAGGCACACGACCCCAGGGCTTGTGTTCTCCAAAGTCATCTCCCTCAGGAACAACAGAGCCAAAGCAACACGTACTCATGGTGGCACTTCAGACACACAAGAGAGGTGGTAGACTGCAGAGCCACCACACTGCCTGTGTGACTGTCCTTCGCCGCACGCCAACCTAAGACCATAGCCACTAAGAATAAGACAACTGAATCACTGGAAAAATTGCTGACAAAGCAGGTATGGGCAAGGCAAGTGTGAAAAGACAGGGCAAAAAGGAAAAAGTTAAAAATCAAGGACTCTGAATTTATATTGTTTCAAAGCATCAAAGGTCTCATTCTACGTTTTTTTTTTTTTTGAGACGGAGTCTTGCTCTACTGCGCAGGCTAGAGTGAGGTGGTGCGATCTCAGCTCACTTCAACCTCTGCCTCCCGGGTTCTAGTGATTCTCCTGCCTCACCCTCCCGAGTAGCTGGGACTACAGGTGAGTGCCACCACGCTCGGTTAATTTTTGGATTTTTAGTAGAGATGGGGTTTCACCATACTGTCCAGGCTGATCTCGAACTCCTAACCTCATGATCCACCTGCCGTGGCCTCTCAAAGTGCTGGGATTACAGATGTGAGACACACACCTGGCTTTCATTCTATTTTTAAGCATGTACTTCAACTGAAAATCACAGAGTATGTGCTATGTGTAGTATATGCAAGAAAGGACTGAGGGACAGCAGTCAACAATTCATACACAAACAGAAAGCCTTACCACAAAATCAGCAAATTAATGCATATTTATATATCTTTAATTAAAATAAAAACATTGTTTTAGCAAAAGATGATTTCCTAGGCCAGGTGCAGTAGCTCAGACCTATAATCCCAGCACTTTGGGAGGCCAAAAAGGGAGGATAATTTGAGGCTGGGAGTTTCAGACCAGCCTGGGCACCACAGCCTGTTTCTATAAAAAATTTTTCTATAAAAAATTTAAATTCTGGGTGTGGTGGGTTGAGTCTCTAGTCTCAGCTACTCGGGAGGCTAAGGTGAGAGAATCGTTTGAGCCCAGGAGGTCAAGGCTGCAGTGAACCATGATCATGCCATTGCACTCCAGCCTGGGCAGCAGTGGTGAGATCTTATCTCTTAAAAAAATAAAAAGATTCTCTAATTTATCTGACTTTCAATGAACTCACTAATTATCTAACAGATTCCGAAAAGGGAGCTTCTGGATATATTATTAATGTCTCCTCCACACTGTGTTACATGGATGGGAATTGTATGTGTTTCATTCATATAAAATAAATGAAACACTACATTGATAACTTGCATAAAGGAGACTAAAGGACTGTGCTATACCATAAGGGAAACGGACCTAGTCAGTGAGAATAGGGAAACCTTCCCCAAATAAGTGATATTTGAGATGAAATTCAAAGTTAAACTGGCCACAGGACACAGGGTAGAACAGTGCAAGGGACACAACATTCCAAACATAAACACAGTGGGTGCAAAGGCCCTGTGGCAAGAGGAAATTGGAGGAAGGCAAGTTTGGCTTGAGTAGATGGAGGAATAAAACCAAGGTGGGGAGGGCATAATACGGTCTAACTTGCATTTTGACAAGGTTGCTCTGGCTATAGTATGGAGAACAGGTTGCCTCAGCGTTAGGGGTGGTGCATTAAGACAGGAAAAAATCGAACAGGCTTAACAGGAGAAAATCATGAACTCAGTCTTGAAAATTATAAACAAGATGCTTTTGGGATACCCAAGCAGTGACATCCAGTAGGCAACTGGATCAAGGATCCTTTCCTATCCTCTGGTGAGCAAGAATGCACTGTTTAACATGTCTTACATTTGGTTGTACTGTATTTCCTTATCCTTCAGTTTTGAGAATAAAATACACATACATTTTCTTCGACATAATAGCTCCCTTTAGTTTATTATTAACAGCAATACGAGCCTTCTGTGGCTTGGAAAGACTTTGTCACAAACCTATTCTTCATTGCTATGGTCTGAATCTTTGTGTCCCCTCAAAAGTCATATGTTGAAGTCCTAATCTCCAAAGTGATGGTACTAGGAGGTGGCGTCTTTGGGACGTGATTATGCCATAAGGACAGAGCCTTCATGAATGGGATTAGTGTCCTTATAAAACAGGCCCAAGCCAGGTGTGGTGGCTCACGCCTGAAATCCCAGCACTTTGGGAGGCTGACGTGGGCAGATCATGAGGTCATGAGATCGAGACCATCCTGGCCAATATGGTGAAACCCCATCTCTACTAAAACTACAAAATTAGCTGGGTATGGTGGCGTGTCCCTGTAGTCCTAGCTACTCAAGAGGCTGAAGCAGGAGAATGGCTTGAACCTGGGAGGCAGAGGTTGCAGTGAGCCGAAATCATGCCATTTTGCACTCCAGCCTGGTGACAGAGCAAGACTCCGTCTCAGAAAACAAAACAAAACAAAACAAAACAGGCCTAAGGGAGCTTGTTTACTCCTTGCACCAAGTGAGGATGTAGCTGGAAGGCACCTCCTATGAACCAGAAAAGTGGGCCCTCACCAGACACCAAATCTGCTGGTGCGCTGATCTTGGGCACTCTAGACCTGTGATAAATAAATT